CTATAAGATTCTATAAGCCTGTTAAGTGATAATTTAGGTCACTAACATCATCATTTAATTACAATAACTAATTATTACATCTACAAAATAACTTCATTATGACGTCAAGACTAGTGCCAATTTGGCATGTAAAATTAATGACTGCACCATTTTAGCTACCAAAGCTGACATTTACTTGTTCATTCATTCCATCCTCTTTATTGTCCTAAGTATCTTTCTCAGTTTGAACAAGACAACGTCTCCCCTACTGTACTACTCTGGTATTTTTTGAGATTAAGAGGCCTTTACATATGGATATAGAAGCAGCTGTGGACTGTTCTGTAGTTAATTCCAGAAGAACAAAGAAAAATGCAATTCACTTTGAATTTACACTTTTTATGATGAAATATTGATGTGGGAGTGTCATATATCAATCTGTTAATTTCATTGGTTAAGCAATAAAGAAACTCCTTGGCCCTGATTGGTTAAAACATAGGTGGGAGGAGTAAACAGAATAGGATGCTGGGAGGAAGAGGAAGTGAGCTCAGACTCGATAGCTCTGCTCTCTGGAGCAGAGGCCCTGCTTCGCTCTCTCAGGCAGCTCCGACCCAGGATGGACGTAGGCTAGAATCTTCCCGGTAAGCACACCTTGGGGTGCTTACACACATTATTAGAAATGGGCTAGTCCAGGTGTGAGAATTAGCTTAGAAGAGGCTAGATAGAAATGGGCCAAGCAGTGCTTCAATGAATACAGTTTGTGTGTTGTTATTTCGGGGCATAAGCTAGTAGGCGGCTGGGGTGCTGGGGACACAGCCCCGCCGCCACTCCTATTTCAACAGATGGCGCTCTCCTGGGCATACGCGATGAAGCTCCGACCCAGGAGAGCGAAGCAGGGCCTTTGCTCCAGAGAACAGAGCTGTCGAGTCTGCGCTTACTTCCTCTTCCTCCCAGCGTCCTATTCTGTTTACTCCTCCCACCTATATTTTAACCTATCAAGGCCAAGGAGTTTCTTTATTGCTTAACCAATGAAATTAACAGATTGATATATGATACTCCCACATCAAAATATAAGGGAAACAATGTAAAGTTCACCCAGGTGGTATAATGGTTACACTTTCTAAATCTAAATACAATGAGGTAGAAGATAGATAGATGATAGATGATAGATAGATAGATAGATAGATAGATAGATAGATAGATAGATAGATGATAGATAGCTTTTTCTTTATATTAATTTTTAAACAAATTGATACTTGGAAAGTATTGCTTCTTACCCTTCTTGAGGACATAAGGATGTAAGCCCCACTACTTTAAGAACCTTGTCTGCTTGCTCACCACTATCCTCTCAGAGTTAGAATATACAAGCCATGTGTTCTCAAGCCCTGTGCTGCAGGAAGGATGGAGAGAGATCAGCAACCAGAGCCAGATACCCATCCCTCCTGTGGCTTTCCTTCAGATGCAAGCCCTTCCGTTTGTTTGTGGTCAGCTGCTACTAAGGTCAGCTAACATGACCATCTGGGAAGAAGGTGACAGAAAGGCCCAGGGTCACAATAGGGCAAACATGAAAAGGACAGTTAGAAAGGGCACTGAGTGTCTACGTCCAACAGCGGTGACACCATTTGTCCAGAGAAAGATTTATAGCAAGTTCCAGGAGAGAGGGAACTTCACCGATTGTATGGCAGAACACGGTATTAAGGGTTTTATTCACTGAGATCCTTCCATTTCTAAAACAAAAGGCATAATGTCCTATAGCGGCATCTGGCACAGGGCCCCAGGCTCAGCAGGCATTCTATAAACATTTGCTGGATAAATGGGACAGGTGAACGAATGGGCACTTTAACTGTTTATCCATGTTCCTCTTAAAATCACCTCCTGCAGCACAGAAAATATGCCCATCCCGTGGAGTGAAGCGACAGTCAGCCCTCGGGGCTGCATGTCCACAGCAGCACCCTCCGTTCCCCTTTATACACCAAATAAACTGTGCTTTTAGATAATCTGTATGACACAGAAAAAGGAGAGACTACTTACCTGTCCTCCTGAAGCCCCAGTAATAATGCTTATTTTCTACAGATGTAGATTAAATGACTCCTAAAACATAATAAAAGATTCATTGAGTCTTTTTTGAGGACTACTTCCTGTCTCCTCTCTGTCTATAGTCCTCAAAACATCTATGGTTAATTTTAGTCAGTTAGTGGCTAGCTCCGCCCTCGGACTCCAAGCAAGTTTTATTTGTCAGAACGTAATCAAAACATCACACAACACACTCAGGCAAATGGAAACAGCTGCCCCATGCCCTTTGCAGCCCTTCAAATGCAGGTGCCAGTAAGCAATATAGTTCTTCCATGGCCTCTGCTTCAGTTCCCACCTCCAGGTTCTTGCAGTTCTTGCCCTAAGTTTCTTCATGATAAACCATAAACTGGAATAAACCCTTCCCTCTCCAGAGTTGCTTTATCGTAGCAACAAAAAAAACAAACTAGTGCAGAAATTGGTACCAGAGACTGGAGCACCAGAGAAGCGGAGCTGCCTACACCTTTACCGCCCAGGGGATTGTGAGTCCCCTGGGCCTTGAGCTAGTTAAACTGTTGGGTCTTGGTTTTGCTTTGGTTTTGTTGTAACTGTGCCCTAGTTCTTCCCTCTTAGAATAAGAAATATTTAACTTTTTTGTTTGCTTGATTTTAATTTTATAGGAACCCATAGTTGTTAATTTTATAGGAACTAGGTTGTTGGGGGGAGGTAGCTAATTAGTTCCCGGCCACTTAGCCGGGAAATAATCATACAGAAACCATATTATTTTAATCACTGCTTGGCCCATTAGCTCTAGCTTCTTATTTGCTAACTCTTACATCTTAATTTAGCCCATTTCTAGTAATCTGTGTATTGCCACATGGCTGTGGCTTACTGGGTAAAGTTCCTACCGGCGTCTGTCTCTGGTGGGGCAACAAGGCTTCTCTCCGACTCCACCTTCCTTCAACCTTGCTATAGGCCAAGGCTGTTTCTTTATTCATTAACCAATAAAAGCAACACATAGACAGAAGGACCTCCCACACCACTCGGTCTTTTAAAATGCTTAAATTTGTAAAGACTCTGGGACTTCTAGCATTATATTATGCTTTATATTGTGATAGTAACAAGAGATCTGAGGAATATACAGGAAAGGAACGGTTACTGGTTTAAGAGTGATTTGTTTGTCAAGTTGACAAGGACTCAGTTGTGCTGGTTAGTTCTTCATCAGCTTTGACACAAGCTGAAATCATCTGAAAAGAGGAGAAAGTTCAACTGAGAAGATGCTTATTAGACTTGTAGGCAACTCTGGGGGTAGTACATTTTCTTGATTAATGATTGATGTGGAAGGGCCTAGCCCATTGTGGGTGGTACCACCCTTAGAAAGTAGCCCAGGGCGGGGGGAGGGGGGGGAGGGGAATCCTGAGAAAGTCTGGGGAGCAAGCCAGTAAGCAATGTTCCTCCACAGTCTGCTTCAGTTCCTGGTTCTGCTCCTGCCCTGCTTACGCTCCTGCTCTGACTTCCTTTCATGATGGATTGTAAACTAGGAGGTGCAGGATTAAATAAACCCATTCCTCCTCCAAGTTGCTTTGATTATGGTGTTCTATCATAGCAACAGAAAGCCAATGGGTATAAAACACATGTGCTCGTTAGGATTTACTGGCAATTTGACATAGCCTAGAGTCACCAGGGAAAAAGAAACAATTGTGGAATTGCCCGATTCTGATCAGCCTGCATTAGTGTCTGCGAAGGGTTCTTTTGATTGGTAGTTTGTGTGAGAGAGCCTGGCCCACCGTGGGTAGCACCGTGCCTTGGCTGATGAGCCTCAGCTGTACAATAAAACTAGCTGCAGAGAAAAATGTATAGCTCAATAAAATCAATTTTTAAAAAAGAAGTCTATTATCAGATAAGAACAGAGAGAGTAACAGGACTTAACAAACTGCGTTTTCATGTAGGCTTACTCATCTATATTTTCTGAAAGTTGCTCTGTTGAATAAAGTTTAAAAATAAAAGAAAAAATATAGCTGATTAAGTCAGAAGAGTCAGCAAGCAGAGTTCCTCCATGGTTCTTGTCTCCAAGATTCTACTTGAGTTCCTTCCCTGACTGCCCTCAAAGATGAGTTATAATCCAGAGGTGTAAGCTAAATAAACCCTTTCTGTCTCAAGCAGGTTTTGGTCAAAGTGTTTTATAACAGCAACAGAAATTAAATTTGAATAAGAAGGGAAGACAGGTGGTTCAAAATAAAAGATTAAATAATAGGTGATAATAGATAGATAGAAACATATATTCATAGATGAAAGATGATAGATAAATACAGACTAGATAGATAGATAGATAGATAGATAGATAGATAGATAGATAGATAGATGATACAAATGGATGGTACGTAGGTAGTTGATAGATAGAAGCAGATAGATGATAAATAGAAAGGTAGAGATAGAGAAAATAATTAATAGATTTAGAATAGTTATCTAGATAAATAATAGAAGGTAGATAACTGTGAGTAGAGATTAATAGAGATAAGTAGACTTAATAGGTAAATAGAAGATAAAAAAGATAATTGATAGGTCAGTGATAAGTAGATAGATAACAGATGGATAATTGATAGAAATTGATGATTGATAGAGAGATGATATAAGATAGGCAAATGATAGATGACTAATAGCTACAGGCAGACAGTTGATAGGTAGATAGAAGATAAATCCATAACCTGGAAGTAGACAAATAATTGATAGAGATAGCTTATTGATATAAATTGATAACAGAAGACAGAGATAGAGGGTGATAGGTGGCTAATAGAAGATAAAACATTGGTAGACACAATAATGACTGACAGATGATTGATAGAGTAGATAGATGAATTATAGATAATCTTCATTGTCAGGAGGTACATGGAGCCAGTTATCCTGCAATGGGTCAATGTACACGAAATGGAAAGGATCAATGAGTCCCCCAACGACAGCATGACAGTGGGTGAATGTTCTTGGTGAGTGCCTGAGCAAGTCCTCTCTGCCCTCAGGTCGACGCCCACGGCAATATTCTCCTCAGCACTCTGGAAATCAGGAATGAAACCAGCGGCTCCGAGGTGCTCACGGGTGTGAGTGACCCCAAGGCCACCATGTACTCGTACGACAGCGCCAGCATCCAGTACCGCAAGCCGCTGAGCAGCCGCGAGGGCTTCGGGCGCGGGCTGGACAGGCACGGGGTGCCAGGCAAGGGGCGCATCCGCAGGCGTGCCTCGCAACTCAAAGTGAAGATCCCTGACTTAACTGACGTGAACTCCATAGACAAGTGGTCCCGAATGTTTTTCCCCATCACATTTTCTCTTTTTAATGTCGTTTATTGGCTTTACTACGTCCACTAAAGTCAGTCTCATGGTTCGGTTTAGACTATCTTCCTTGGCTTGTTTTCTAACCCCACACTCTCCCAACAGCGATTACTGCTGTGGTTTTTGGAGGTCAGAGATTCAGCCATCCAATTGGTTTTCGGTATTGCGTGTCAGTTTTTATTATCACACCATGTTTACTTCAGCAACAACAAAAGGTATTTGTTCGTGTGCACAGTGGTCCCGGTTACTAGCTCTCTTTCAGCATCCCATCAATTGCTTTGTTTACAAACACAAAAGGAGATGGGTGGTAACTACTGTTGGTAGTCTTTCCTAGTGGCCCTGGATCTCACAGAATAATTTGAAAATGAAAATGTACAGTGGACTTGCTGTCCACCAGCACTGTGTTCTGAGAAAGCTGTAATCATCTCATTCTGCCAAAAAATAATGATGTTTTTAATGACAGGAAAAAAAAAAAACAACTAACTTCAGCATCTCAGATGAAAAAGCCATTTGACAAATAGCAGGTTTTCAGGAAGCAGGGATATAGCAGACAATTCCCCCTCCCTTCTGAAGTTCTCCTGGGTCCCTTCTAGAAAGGCTTCTAGACTCTGCAAAAGAGGGACATCAAAGCTAGTGTTAGTCACCTTTTCCCCAAACTCACCCTACTGTGTCCATCTAACAATGACCATGGCTATCCTTAAAAGTATTTCTTTCTCAAACTGCCCAGATGGTCAAAGTTAGCATTCGAACCCAACCTGATCTATCTGGTAGTCACTGAGAACATTTTTCTTTCCTTGTCAAGAATAAGAAGTTTGGGGGACAATCAATCTTTTCCTTGCTGACCTTTATGGGAAGCAGCCTTGCCTGGTCTTTGTAAACTTTGGGCTCTCTTGATGCCATGAAAACCATGTGGTCATATTTCCACAGTCCCTGTTCCAGAAAGAAAGAGAGAAAGGACATGTGGGGTCCAGCTGGTAAAGGATTTGAAGGAGGTGAAGACCAATTTTTTTTTCCCTTGAGAAAAAAATTGCTATTTCTCTGAGCAAGGCAAGACTTATGTGTTATGAAAAGGTGCCTGGGCAGTTATCCGCACTGCCAAATCTTAAGTCAAATTGTATGTATCGCCTAGCCTTCCAGAGAGCAGTGTCTAATAGTGATAAGCTCATCACACAGGACTCTCCTGAAACTTTTTTGGTCTGTTTTCTGAGCTCTGCATTTCAAACTACAAAATGCATGGCCTGGGGAACGCTCATCCACCATGTCAGTGTCTTCCTCCAAAGCCAGATTTCCAGCTTAAAGAGACCTTTAAAGTAGCAAATATCACAGAGAGAAGAAACTCATCACAACAAAACACTGAGCCTTTAATCATGTGCACTGGCCGCTGAAGTGTGGGCCCTGCCTGTCTACACGCATTAATCACTGTCATTGCACAGCCTCGTCTGTGCTGATGCGTGATTCTGGGTCGTGGGTCTTGTGACTTTCAATAAAGCGACGCAATTGTAAACACGCTCAACCAGCTGCTGCTGACTCCTTCCCATTTTTATGCCATTAAAACCTCGTTTGCTTTCAGAATGAGTTTGTAAAATTATATATGTCTATTTGCAAGGTTGAGTGAGGGCACAAATTGACCAGCCATGGATGGAGGCCACGACCCGTGCGTGTGATGAGGAAACTGAAGGACTAATCAAGATGACTGCCTCGTTTGATAGTCTGGCTCTCCTCTCCAAAGAGAAGCAATGTGCAGAGAAGCGAGAGCTGTTAAAAATATAGTCAATTGGAAAGGGAAAGCTGGAATTCCTAAGAATGAGTCCAAGGGGATAATATGAAAAAATACATTTAGAAAGCAAGAGGAAAAGAAAACCCTTAAATAAGTGAGCGTGGCTGGATTAATAACAGACACTAGTGAAAATAGAAAAGCCCACTCCAACTTAGAAAAAAAAAAAAAAACTGATCACCCCAACTTCTTGAGGAGCCCTGCGATTTTGAGGACAAATTCTCATTTAGGTTTTCAGGAAGTGTAAACACGCTTCCCAGGCTGAGCTGTGCTCATCCTATGGTCAGGTTACAGGGTCATCCATAGGAAGCTCTGCTCGGTTCCCAAGGCTGAGATGCCATGCCATGCACAATGCCGGGGCAGAGTAGAATGGAATGGGGGTTCCTGTTGCCAGTAAATACCCAGGAACTACCATGCGGCCGTTTATTTTAAACATAGGAAGGGAAATATGTGCCTGATGTTGAACAGAAATTAATCATTGTGATGTCAAAGCTGTTTAAAAGGCTTTCAAGAAAGAAATACTGAATCAGAGACAAGTGTCTCCTTAGATCTTCTCATAGAAGATGGTGGTCATTTGGTTTTGCAGTTCTATATTGTCCTTTTTAAAATCTAAAGTGATTTTGTTATAGTTTCAGATATAAAGCATCTTTTGCAGGAAAAAAAAACATTTTGAACCTCCTACATTTTAACCTTTTAAAATGTAAAATGATTGGACCTGAACTACCCACTGGACATGAAATGATATGGGGATCACAGATATCAGTATGCAAATCCAGTCAAATGGCTTTGATCTCAGAGGCAATGGAAACCCACAGCCTTGAAGAGCTGTCACACTTGTGGGGCAAGATCTTTGTCATAACTTCTGAACACCTCCCAGACTACTCCATTCCTCTCTGTTCCCTTCCCAAGTCAAACAGTAACAGGGAAGCACCTTCCTTCTCTGCCATTCTCCCTCTTCTTGCCCTAAATATTGTAAATACAAAATAAACATCATTAAACATTCTTAAATGTTCTCACACTGGCCCCATTGGTTGAAAGATTTTGCTTACATTATACAAAAATTGTTGTTTAACTATGATTAAATTGATTTCTTTTTGCCCTGAAAATAGCCGTAATCCCCTCCATCAAGGAAAGAAAGAAATTGAAAATGACAGACTCCCTCCCTTATGCCTCATTCACACCCAGAGAGCCCGTCTTTCACAGTTCAACTGTGGGACTGATTGTGTGGAAGACTTACCCTGCTGTGGGAAGAGTAGACATCACACCTTTTACTTGACAATAACCACACACTCATCCCTTCTTCCCATATTTTTTCCCTTGGCTTAAAATAGCAGATGTTCCTTCCAGTTAGCAGTTCTCTGAGGCAAAGACCCAGGTGAAGGCTCATTTCTGCTTGAATAATCCAGGATTAGTATCGCCATCACCTCTGTTGCCGAACAGGAACAGCAGCTGGCTGGCAAGACTGCTGAGTGAACAGCCTGTGTCTGTGTGCATGCTAGCTTCATTGTGCATTGCAGTCAATGATGGATCTTAAGAAATTCAGTGAGAAAAATGTGGTGCAGAGAAACAGTAATGGCTTTAGGGTCTGAAAAGACGGGCTTTCCTTTAAAAAAAAAAAAAACAAGTCATAGAAAATCGACAAAATTCTATAGTCCTAAATCAATGACTATCTTATGAATATTTGTTTAGACAGGTTTTATTACAATCTGCCAAGTTAAACAAAAAAGGATATAGGATAGTCCTTCTAGAAGAAAAGAGTCTCCAAGATTTCTCATGTCCCAAATTCTTGTCAAAGGGTGATGCGTCGCCATTTGTTTATTAAAATATCATCATGTATCCTAGGAAAAGGTGAAAGGAACGTGCAAGCATTTGCTCAAGATGGTTCAATCAGCTGTTTCTGGGAGGAACAGAAGAGAAAAACATGTATCTGAAAGAAACCGCAAAGGTACATTGATTAATGGAATGTGGGCTATTGTGTAAACTTCCTTGTAAATTCTGTACATAGTTCACTGAGCTGTCCCTGTGATGTGCTGGTCCTCGACTTTGGGTGGATGTTTGGAAAACCTGATTATTGTAAATATTGTAAGCTTATGAAGCATTTGCTTTTACTCATAAAGTGAAATGATTAGTGATTTGGGCCCAAATCAGAATCTCTCCAGCTCTTGCTCTTTCGTGCATACAGTTGTGTGACTCTGCTGTAAGCCATAGCCAGGTGTCTGTGATCACTGCCTCATGCCTTTACCCACTTTAAGGGACAGCAGCTGCCTAGAAGGCTGCCAACCTGTGGGGCCAAAGAACAGAGCACCAGCAGAAACCAGAACTGGAGCAATGTGCTCCTTGAACAGTCACGAAAAGCAGATAAGTTGTTTTCACTCACTGTAGCTATTTGTATCATCAAGAACTGAATTACTGATGCTGTTCAAGGAGTCAGGGATTGAAGGGATGCTTAAAACCCACAGGTAATCCAAAGCTTCATTTGCACCAATACCTTTAGCTTCTAAACTATGTTTTCTAGAACTTCGAATAAGATTAAAAATGAATAGAATAGTTGGGTTTCATCAGGGTGGACAATAAACATCTGAAGGATAAGCAAGGGTGCAGAGAGAGACAACAAATGCCCTTGATAGCATTGGGTGCCAGACACATACCTGACAGACACAGAGGTAACCATATCCTTACTTTTAAAGGTAGAGAAAAATTCTGATGTGAACTGATTGAGAAGGCAAACAAAAGCATTTAACGAGGGGAAGGGCACTGCAGTGTGAGCTGCTTGAGTTTGAAGAACTTGGTAATTAAATATTTCCAGATATTATTTTCTCCAAGTTCTCGGGGTTCTTTCAGAAGCCTTTAGGATGTGGGCTGTTCTGCCACAAAGTGTGTTTCCAAGCAATCCCAGAGAGGGTGATGGCACCAGAAGAAATTCAAATTATCTGAGCAATTGAAGATTGAGATTGGTTTCTTAGTGGTAGAGGGAAAGGTGTCCTCCTCAAAGGTAAGATTCTTTGTGTCGTTTTACGTGGTAGGAGAGCATACACAGAGAGCTATTATTTTGGAACATTTTAATCCTGAGACATGCCCCACCACCAACTGAACACACAAAACACACCTTGGTGGAACTAATCCATTCCGCCAATTTTCAGGTTAGAACACATTGTGATTTTTCCCTTAGCTTTTCTTCAGATAGCAGCACATCAGCGGGAATGATTGAAAGCGTAATTGTTGGGATCTTCAGCAAGCATTTGAAAGAAGTTCTTTTTAATAAATTAATTACAAAATAGAAAACATTGAATTCATAAAAGGGTAAGAACGAGGGTTCTGTGTTTGTTCTGACACCTCCCACGGCAGGAATTTCCCATTAAATTTGAAGTACTCTAACAGGTTTTTACCTAGTCAGAAATCTTTGGCATATTAACGGACTCACATCAAGGAACTCAATCATTATGCACTGGCTCCCAAACTTTTTGTGAATAATGGATCTATCAAAAAAAAATTCCAGTGGGAATTCAAGTTGGGAAAATTGATATTCCTGAACCAGTTGAGAAGGAATCCCACTCTCCAGAGCAACACTCCCTGCATATTCCATCCTGTGGACAATCAAAACAAATCAGTACATATAAGTGAGGTCAAATAACCTGGTTTATTTGCCTTAGGGATACAGGGTCACAGATACATTCATTAAAATAGTCTCATTCCAAAGTCAAAGGATAAACAAGAGCAATATCATTACCTGGCTCTTGCCTCTTTCTAGGCTTTCCTTTGAGGAGAAACAGGAAACAGGAGACACTCCCAAATATATTTTTATATGTTCAAATAATTAAAATATTATATGTGTATTTTGAAATCTTTGAATTTTATAAAATAGGTGAACTCTTCTGTCTTAATATTTCCCAAATATATACCCAATGAAATCAATTCCTTTATTTACTGTCCATCTCATTGCCAAAGCTCATATGCTATCTTGCTCATATTTAGATGGCAGCTTCAACTTTTAAACTTACAGTTTTTCATTAAATTCACAAACAAAGAATTATAATAATTCTTCCCAATTCATACTCATAATGCCTTTAAAAGGTGTTCAGAGGGAAATCTTTTCATTGTGGCCACCTCTGAAGACCCTGAATTACTTTTATTTGTTTTTTTATATGGAGTACACATGTTTACAAACATCTTTTCTTTCCCAACTTATTTCAAATACAGTAGAAATGAAAGTCATGACTTTGACCTGTGGGTGATTGTATTATCTATACCAGAACTTAAAGCTAAGGCCCTTTTCTCAATAGCAGTAGCACGGTAAGTCTATGCTGCATTCATCAACGCTCCTCCGAGAATGGCTATCACACAAGTAGAACATCTGTCGTTACAAAGAGTCCTTTAGGACTTGGAGCTAATTCTTCCTTTCTGTACCTTTCTCCTAGACTTATACTACATAGGGATCACCTCACCTATCCCATCAACTTTCTAGCAGATTCTAGAGTCAGTAATTGCACAAACCATGCTCTGTTCAAACTAGTGTAGGATGCATCCCTCCGTAAAGCATCTCCACTTAGGGAATGCAGGCTCCCTAGACATACACCAAACAAGATGCTGGAAGGTTAAGCGTGGTGGGGAGGAGGGGAGACAACGAAGGAAGACCCCTTGGAATCAGGATGGAGGTGTGCCTCCACACAGGCCTGTGACCTTTGACATGCCAGCAGATGACTTCAAGTTCTCTTCCAGAACCAGGTCTCAAATGTTATTTTAGAGAGGCTCGTGTACATGGGAGTTGAACCAAACAGTGCTGGTGTACCATGGTCTCTGTTGATACAGCCCCGCAAATCTAATAGTAGTCATTGCCACATGCCTTCGAGAGTTAGCCCCTTGACATCAAGCAAATTGGATACTAGCTCAGATTTCTTCCAAACCTCATCAAACACGCAGTTACACAGGCAAGTAGCAAAATTATCTTATGACTTTTATAATATTCTGTACTATAATCTTCCATTTTAGAAAAGTATCAAGGGGACACTCAGATAACATTCATTCATGTGATCTGGTCTCCATGTTTAGATCTTTGAAAGATACAGATGTTCTTAAATCATTCTTTGTAACTCAGTCAAGAAAAAAGCCATAAAACCCTCCCTTGCGGATGGGAAAGCCAACTGCTAACCAGTATCTGAGCCCAAATGCATTCCGGTGACATCTCAAGTTTTGAACTTCACATGTCTCTATGTCTCTAAAATGGAACAAGCAAATATATTTGAGCTTTCAAGCCAGTTGCAGCTTCCCTTTGAGATGAAAGAGCTTCTATACTTTAGAGCCTGATACTCATCCTTCTCGCCCCTTTCCCCCTGTGTCCTGTTATACCACTTTACCAGTCAAATTGCTCTAGTATCTTAGACACAGTCGTGGCAAAAAAAAAAAAATGAAAGTTTATTAAAATGAGATTAGTCTTGTAGTTATTCTCCAGCCAATGCATCCCTCCCCAGTCCAGTCTCTGAACATGACCGCCAAAATGAATTTGACAAGTATTCTTAATTTTTACTGAATGTTTATGATTCTCCTGGAGCCTTTTAACTGTTAAGATAATATTTTCTCATCCAGTTCCATGTGGAACTGTCATATATTGCTTTAACTGTGTTTCTCCTTCATCTTACTTGTTGAAAGATGTTATCATTTATTATATTGAACTTTTAAAGAAAATTGTTAGGGTAATGCCTGAAGACACCATTTTTCCTGCTGGATGTCAGTTTATGAGAACACCTTCTGTTTTGCAAAATTAGCAGAGTATTTTTCTCCCAGCCTCAGACATCCTCCAAAGACGGTTCTCCCAACTTCCTAATGTGCCCTCCTCTTAAGGCGAGGAGGTGATTGCTTTTTTTTTCTGCTTTCCCATGATGTTTTTAATCTACAGATGGAGTCACATCTAATAATATCATTTTTTTTCCAGAGACAGGAAGCATCCCTAAGTGTTTAAGTCCGAACTGAGGTTAGCATTTGCTAACATAGCAGATCTGCTGAGATCCATTCCAAAGCATGTGACAAACGGTAACTCTCAAAGGATGTTGTTACAATCCAAACATTCTTAGCTCCTATAACAGTAGGAATAGAAGAGACTGGTCTAGAGTGTTGATTTCAAGAATAGAAGACCCAAGACCTTTCTCTGATTCTCTGAATATTATCAGCCCTCAGTATAGCTGCACCAGGGTTGCATAGGCCATTCCTCAGATAGTCATCCTGAGGGGCAGAAACAGGTTAAGTCCTGCCTTGGATTACTTTTCATAGGCAAGAAACCTTTCCTCAGAAACCATCCCTTTTGTCCTGTTGGCCAAGGTTGAGTTAAACATCTATGCCTTAACCATTCCTGGAAGAGTATAGTTCTTGTACCTGACTTATAACAAATATTCGGAGCTATACAATGTAAAAAAGTTAATTAACTAATAATTGTTTAATAACAAAAAGAAACTAAGAATGGCTTGGGGAGATGGCCAGTAATGACTATCCCATACTAACCTATAGAAAATACTTTCCCACTATAACATAATGCTTTCCCCTGTACTCCAGCCCTATGAAAGTATGCTAGCACAAGTATCAGGACACAGAAGCCCAAAGAGTTTAAATCACTTACCCAGATCTAATAGTTACTGGTAAAGTGGGTATTCATTCCCAGTTTTTCTTGCCTCCGAAGACAAAGTTTCTACCTCTCCCGTCCAATCTATATTTAATCCCTTTGACCTTGATGATATGGGCTTCTAGAGTATTTAAACGAAACGATACGTGGAAGAACTTGGAAGAAGACAGCTCGTACACCCAGAAATGAGATACTGTGCCCAGTAGATGCTGCTCAGTTTATTTCTGTCCACTCTGCCCTCTCTCTACTCCCCACAGAACTTTCATTGTTCAAAGAGAGTGATGAAGAAAAGCCTGTGCAACCACAGAGCTTCGCTGGGCTCCCTTCTTTAGGTTCATGGCATTATTAGAGGATTGAACAGCCCAGTTTGGCTGAGTTTGGAAGGTAAACTAAGAGACTGCTTTAAATTATAGAATCTCTGCAACCTGGAGGATACAGGAAATACCAATAACTTTACGATGGAGTTTGTATTCTGTCCTAGAAAAGAAAACTTACTTCACTGTGAGCCACTTGTTCTGTCTGAACAGCCTTCACCTCGCACGTCCACTATGCTTTTCACTGCTCTCTTTAGCCCCCTCAGAATTGAGCTATAGACCCTCACTACCCTTAATTCCAGTGGCAGGCATCATTCCCAAATATTCTTATTGCTACACTTCAAGTTTTACATCTTATGGTCAGTGCTAGGATGCTCTTTCTAGCTCCACCCCAATGATAACTTAGAGAACAAGCCACCAGCACCCAAAATATCCATCCAAGTCTCCATCCTCATCCCTTCGCCTACTCTTTCAATTCTTAGAGCAACTCTGTCCAGTGAAATTGGATATCATGTGTATTTCCAGCACTCTTGTAAATATTCTGCCTCTATTAAAAAATTCGTCTTTAAGAGTATACACCCATTTTCTAAGTCCTTTGTAGAATCTCATGAATAAAAGTCTCTAAACAAATTAAAACATAAAATCATACTTACAGTGGAGCCCTTGCTAACTCCATGCCGGGTGGTCATTGGGATTCTTTTTCCCACTGGTTGAGTAGGCAGACATAATCTTCTAATACCTCCATTGAACACAAGCTCTAGCAGAACTGAATTTTCCATCCTAATTGCTTCTTCTTTTCCTTTATAAAAAATAGGAACATTT